TTTCGAATATTAATTGGAAGGACATCCTTGGAACCTATAATGACGTGAATGGTTGTTTGGAAATATTCTATGGAGAAATATATTAGTTGATAGATATCTCCGTACGAAAAAAAAAAAAAAGGATTTTCAATCAGTTTCCCGTATATTTCACACAAAACACTATAAAAATGATTATCGAAAATCTGAAGCTCACAAAAAGTGAAAAAATCTAGCTGCCACTTTGACAATCAACTCTTCTGTCGATTAAGGAATAGATTCAAGCAATGGAATCGCAATGACTACAAAAATTTCGCGAATTCAGTTCAAAACGATATACCGAATAATTCCAAAAAATATGGTACTTTGTATGCAAAACTAACCCAAATAATATTATTCCCAATAAAATGAAATTAGGGAATGAATCAGCTGATGGAGCAGATGTTTGCAAGCTCTTCTCTAAATTTTTTAAAAGTGTCTTTCAGCCTTACGAACAAACAATGCACACACACACAAAATAATATATCTTCAATAAGTAAAATAACCGTATCTGTAGAACAAATCAAAATTAATCTTTCAGCTCTAGATGAAAACAAAGGTAACGGCTCGGACGAATTTCCATCATTTTTTATAAAAAAAATGTGCGTCAAGTATATGTGTGCCGTTAGCTATAATCATAAATAAATCCTTCGAACAATACACTTTTTCAGAAAGATGGAAAGATGCCTATGTTGTACCTATTTACAAAAATGGTAATAGAAACGACGTTACCAACTACCGTCCAATTTGAAAATTGAATATTCTAAGTAAAGTTCATGAGCTCATAGTTCAGGATATACTCATGACTTCCTTGAAAAGACATATCATAGAGGAACAGCACGGATTTTTTCCAAAGAAATCCCTAGAGACGAATTTGGTCTTATACACTGAATATGTGATGAATGCAATGAACAGCCAGATTCAAGTGGATTCCGTGTACACCGATTTCAGTAAAGCATTCGACAAAATAAATCACAACAAATCGCTGTCTAATAAGTTAGCTGAAGTCGGTGTACACGGAAACCTGCTTCGCTGGTTCTCCTCATATATGTACAGTATGATGCAAATGTATGAAATGAATTCATTTCAAAACAAGACGACTTCCGAAAAAAATCCAAAAACTAGAGTTCAGAACTTTTTTCATTGTGTATTATTTCAACTAGACGACCCTTCGATGTTCAATTCTCAGTAGCAGACCTATGCAAGATTCAGGTAACCAAATGATAATCCATTTTAATTGCAATATTCTTATGCAAAATTTTGCCTGTTGGATAGATGATCAGTAGACCTTTCAAACGAACACCAGTGACGTAACATATCTCATATGGATGTCATGAGGTGAGGCTTCAAAAATTAAAACTCACGTGTTTTTGGAATTTCTTCAAATGTCGCCCATTTCTGAAATAATGAATTTATTCCATACATTTGCATCATACTGTATATAAATTGTTACAGTCAACGGACATCAATCGATGTAAATTCATATCATATGCTGACGATCTCAAAATATTCTCTCAAGTAAGTAGTGTAATCGATTGTTCCTTGATCCAAAATGATTTGAACAGATTTTTCAACTTCTGTCAAATCAATAAACTCCATTTGAATTTGGATAAATGTTGCTTCATCTCTTCCACTCGAGACCACAACATATTCATACGATTATAATTTTGATGATAATATCCTCAAAGAAGTTAATGAAATGAAAGACCTAGGTGTGATACTAGACAAAAAACTCCCATTCTCAACTCACATTGATTATGTTGTATCAAAATGTAATAGAACATAAGGATTCATATTCAGACATTGCAGAAACTTCACCTATCTTCATGCCATGAAAACCTTATTGTACTCCTTTGTAATTTGTATACAGTAAACTGAATTTTGCAAATGTTATCTGGCGACCACAATACGCTATATAGAAGACTAGATTGGAAATCAAACAGAATGAATTTTTAAGATATCTTGAATATAGAAATAGTGGGGAATATAACATTACAACTAGTACAGCCTTCCTGAGAAACAAATTCCATATGGTCACACTAGAGGCTCGTCGAGAGCAATCCGACATAATATTTTTATTCAAAATTATGAATGACTCAATCGACTCCCCTGACATTTTGTCGAATATATATCTCAATGATCCAACTAGTTCTCTGAGGAGTCTCTTCTCTGAAACGTTTTGTAGAACAAACTAAGGAATAACTCTCCCCTACATAGAATGATGACACTTCACAATAAGAAGTTCGATGATATTGAGTTATTCAATCATTCACTACTTGTTTTTCGAATCGAAAATAAAAGAGAAATACTTAGTTTCATAGCTGACATCAAATGTTTCTTGACGTAGTGTTAGGTTAAGCGAAAATTGTAATCTGTATTTTTTCTTGTACGCTCAACTGTATCCGTGGATAACACTTTGGGTTATGCCTGTTCCCAGCAAACATTGAACTAGCGGAAGAAGTTTGGCCTAGTACAGGCTAGTCTGGGGGTATTGGTAATGGGCCGATGATTTTCCTATGCCAAGTAACCATCAGTTAAAAATACGATGATGGCCTTGTTATGGTAAGATGTCTGGAACTAATTGAATACTAACGGGATCTGGCCCTTTGCCAGCCAATTCTATGTTCGCTACTCGTCCCTCTGGTGTATGTTCTGGGAACGTTTACATCAACAGTCAGCTGATCAATATTATGTGTGACTAAGATGGCTGACTCTCGTGAATGGTGATCGCGTACTAGTTTGTTTTTGTCGAATTAATGTGGTCCTCTCTTTCCATGGTGGTTATTCATGATAGCAGAAGTATTCTCAATTGATAATAATAGAAGACAGATTCTTCAATTATGATAATATTGAGTAAGTATCAATCTACCGACATAGTGTTTCGAATTTCATCATTAAATGCATGTGTTTGGTATCTCGTAACCTCATATACCTAATGATCATAATAATTGGAGTTGGCCATACTTCTCTAGAAGCAACTATCATTTTCAACTCATTTGTTGCTATCAAAAGCAATCTTAGGTTATGTGAAACTGTCTCAATATTAAAGAACCAAATAACAATGAGGTTTCAGCTACAGAAATATCAGTGCCAAGAAAATAATTAGAATTGAAAAGCTCCATGTTATCACGTCATCAAGTTATAAACTCATGCAACTCATAGGCCACTAATATGTAACTAATGATGAATTTCAGAAGTATCTCACAACGAAGAATCAACTTTGAAGGAATGCTACTCAATAAGATGTATATACCACATACCAAGCAGTAAGCAGTCACTCCGAGAAGTTTCATCGTTGAAGAACAGAGAGGTTGAGAAGATATCATTGTGTCATTCATAAAATTGTTTTCTTGGAATCTGGTATGTGTCTGATTTATGATGAGAGGGTTATATTGTGGAATAAAGAGGTACACTAGAACTTTCATGCAGATCCATTGGACCCCTGAAACCCTTACCCCTCCCCTACCTCGATAGTACGTAACCAATGTCGTTTATTGGCCATTACAGTCCCATCATTTATGTATATGCTGAGCTTGCTATGGGAAACTCAATGTGTCGATTATGTTGTACTGGCCTTTTGCCGGGGAACTGAATATGATTGCTGGGTACCCAGCACTGGGACCAGCTGCCGACCGCAGTGTACTGATATATAGAGTCCCGCATATGGGACCATTTACTGGGCCGCTGATGTCAGGTAAGGGGAAAATATATTTGGCCATTGATGCCCCATATCAAAATGTTTGCTGGGTTGTTATCCTATATGACTTCACTAATTAAATAAATGAATAAATAAGGGAATGGTTGATATTTCCTTTGGAAAATTAAAGAAATGAAATCGCCATTTCCTTCAGAATTTCCGCAATTCATTACACAGCAGGACATTTCCATTTATGCTTTAATTGTTTTGGAAATCATATTTCAATTTTGACGTTCATAATTTTTATTTTCAAATGGAAACAATTTTGAATGAAAAAGTGCGGAACGACTATGATGCTGTTGTCACAAGCAAGGTGTACAACTAAATGAATCTAAACATTCAAAAACACTGACAGTTGTTTTTTTTTCTTTTTTTTTTCAATTGACTCGGCCGTTACTTGATGGAAATCCATGACGAATGTAAAAACTCCACCAACGATGAGATTTCCACAAAATTCTCAAACACACGACATGTTTCGCTAACACAGTAGCTTCGTCAGGTGATATAATGAACTCCAGTTCATCACCTAACGAAGCTACTGTGTCGTGTGTTTGAGAATTTTGTGGAATCTTATCGTTTGTGAAGTTTTTACAACTGACAGTTGTTATTTCTGTGTCCGAACTCTTTCTTACCTAACTAATACCATCCAGTGACCCTAGTATATATACAGACCTGAAACTAACAATATTCGGGGTTCAGGATTCTCAAAAACAGTTTTTTCTAAAAATGACGAAATTTACGGAAATCCTCAAAATTGGTGTAGCTGTCGACCAGTTGAGGACAAAGTCGCATAGGTACATAAAATATATGCTCAGACGATATTAAGGAATGTTTGATGAATAATGGGAGATAATAATCTTTTATTAGTACATTTCCACTTTCGAGAGCGTGCAGCTCAGGAATGGTTGGAGATACGAGAAAAAGTAGGGGATGAAAGTTGTGGAGAATTGTATCAGCTCTCATTCGATTTCAGCAAATTATTTGCTACGATGAATCGTTTCCGACATATAAGCGATAAACCCAAAAGCGGAACCTTCTCACTGCCTCCATCTGACATTTTTCGTCAGGCATTTCTTCATATTGTCTAAACAAGTTGATTCAGAAGAAAATTCCTTCAGAAAACTCATAGATAATTGAATTTCCTTCAAGAATATATATACCGGGTTACCTATCGAAGAAGCCCACGATATTTATAAGAGGTTGTTCAAAACATCATTTTTTTCAACGGGGAAAAATTCGTAAACAGTGCCCTGATGGTGGAACCAGAAGTGAAACACTTAATATTCTTGAAGTTATGATATGTCTAATATGGGTTGATTGTCACCCGATGGGTTACAGTGTAGTTACTCCTCACGCATACATACCTCAACATGTATATACATATTATAATATATATTATCATAAGTTCTTCGTAGTTTATTATACTATCTATAGGTTATCGAGAGTGGCAATGAACTATAATTGCTAATTCAATGTCTTTTTACTTTCTTCTCTTCCCAGTTCACTAGACTCCACAAGACTGCCACCATTTTCTTCAAAAAATATACAACTAAACATAGAACTGATAAAAGAAATATGTAAATGTCGAAGGAAGACGAGATGAAACCCGATATGTGTCTTGACTGTGGATCATAAATGTTGGTTCCATTATTTCGCATTGCGAATTCAATCCAGAATAATGCACGTTCCATTGGAGTCTGTGGTTGATCCCTCATTATTGATGATATCTTTTTAGCATTCTCGGAATACCTGAAAAAAAAAATCAGTTGCATTTCAATCAAATTAAGTACGAAACTGAACAAATACAAAATTTTTACGGATGTGTCCAAACCTCATAGTAGCTCCTTCAGGAGACAAAATTATTGTAATTAAAAAAGCCCTCAATGCATGCATTTTTTATGAATGATATATATCTACTGTAGAAGTCCAAGTTATCTCAAAGTGGAGTGGAGTAGTTGAAATATAATAAAAACTCTCCAAGTCGTCTCCACAACGTTTTATTTCAAATTCAAGAAGTGGGGGATATGTCTCGGACCCAAAAGGTATCGGCCAGAAAGAAATCATTGTGGAGAAGAAAAAGGCAAAAACATGGTTATAACGAGCATAGTGAGAGTTTTTAGAACATGTTTATAGTTGAAAAAAAAAATATTTAAAATGAAGTGAACTTTGAAATTAAACGTTGTGGGGACGACTTGGAAAGTTTTTATTATATTTTATGAATGATATGATGATTCATAATTCGATCAAACACGCCATCTGTATGTTTTGACTTGAGTTCTGGATGACGAATGACAAAAAGTCAAATATTATTTCAAACCTTACATTCAAATATTATTATATTATTATATTATTATATTATTATATTATTATATTATTATATTATTATATTATTATATTATTATATTATTATATTATTATATTATTATATTATTATATTATTATATTATTATATTATTATATTATTATGTTATTATATTATTATATTATTATATTATTATATTATTATATTATTATATTATTATATTATTATATTTATATATTATTATATTATTATATTATTATATTATTATATCATTATATTATTATATTATTATATTATTATATCATTATATTATTATATTATTATATTATTATATTATTATATTATTATATTATTGATTGATTGATTGATTAATGGCAGAATGATCAGTCAGGGTTTGAAGCCCAAAACACTGCAGCCTTTGGGCCTATTGTATTCCTGATCATGCTGTTGACTCAGGTGAACAGGTTCGCTACCTTGATGAGGTTTAGCAGCCTCTTCACCAGATCATTCTTTGAAAATGCCTCTTGAGAGTTTACTGCTCCCAGAAGGTTGTATCTCCAACGCGCTAGTGCTTCGCACTCCAGTATTACATGGGTGGCAGTTTCCTCCTCCTCATTGCATAGTCTGCATATGGGTTCGTCTGAATAGATGCCCATTTGATGCATATGTTTCCTCAAGGGGCAGTGACCGGTTATTAGTCCCGTCACTTGTTTGATCTGACTTCTGTTTAGGCTCAGAATGTCGTTAGTCACTGTTTTGGACAGTGTTCCAACCATCAGTTTACTGTGTCTTTGTCCTGGGACATTGTTCCAGTATGCCTGATCAAACACGCCATCTGTATGTTTTGACTTGAGTTCTGGATGACGAATGACAAAAAGTCAAATATTATTTCAAACCTTACATTCAAATATTATTATATTATTATATTATTATATTATTATATTATTATATTATTATATTATTATATTATTATATTATTATATTATTATATTATTATATTATTATATTATTATATTATTATATTATTATATTATTATATTATTATATTATTATATTATTATATTATTATATTATTATATTATTATATTATTATATTATTATATTATTATATTATTATATTATTATATTATTATATTATTATATTATTATATTATTATATTATTATATTATTATATTATTATATTATTATATTATTATATTATTATATTATCATATTATTATATTATTATATCATTATTTTATTATATTATTTTACCATTATAAATATCGAAGACTGGAACTTTTGGCACTATAAAACACTACAAAATTTTTACCACTAACAAACGGAAATATTTTATCCTAGTGTCCTACTCATAAAATAGGTTTATGTCCACCCAACCGTGAAAGACATACTAACCGCCAAGTTGATGTTTGTCATGGTTGAGTTCATTACATGTTCAAATGTTATATCACTAACTACTAATAATACTCGAAGTCATATCCACGGCATATTAATTATTACCACATATCCTGGAAGCAAGTGAATGGTACAAAATATTTCATCTACTCACTGCATAGAAAGTTAGCGTTGGCTCCCTCATTTGAGGACACAAAACTGTCAATTTACTCCCACGGGAGGAAAAGAATATTACCTTCCGTGGGAGGTAAAATAAATTGGCTTATGCATGCTTCCTTGGCAGAGATATACCAATAAGATTCGTGCTACCCAAGTACCTAATCAGTGTGTCCATCACTACTAGAAAACAAATAACAATTTTATTTTCCAATAATCTCATACACTTTCTCATATAACACTTAATCGAAACTTTGAATAAAATGCAATTATTACATCACAATCAACTAATTCAATGTGACAAGTATCAATATCAAATTGATTTTCGTTCTTTAACCTTAGATCATGTAAAACCTTAGATCATGTAACACATTGATTTGGATAGAGACTCGAGAGATAGACCGCTTGAAGCACAATTTCAAGAACGACGCTCTCAAATACAGGCTGATTTTGAAATGGGTGCATATATTCAAGACATATATATGAAAGAGTCTAACAAAAATTACTTAGATATTTGATTTTTCCTAAGTCTTCACATAAACGAGAAATTTCATTTTGAAAATTGAACATAAAATGCTTCGAAATTCGAGTACGCCACTGGGAAGCAAGTGAAATCTGCGGAATCCCAGGGAATCCCCAATTCGTCATTCACTAACGTCAAAACAAGACAGTGATGCAAGATTGTTTCAGAGACGAATATCCTGATAAAAATTTGTCACAGAATGAATATGAATTGGAATAGTTTATGGAAACTAATAGAGGTGAATGTAATATGTACAGGAGCCTTATTATTTGAAGTTCACTGAGAGAACTGTGGGGTGATTATCTCCATGGATCACGAGAGACGGAGAGAAACATGAGGGGAATGATAGAACGTCCCCCTTCCTTCAATTCGAAAATAAGGCCCCAGCGGGTAGATACAAAATTAGCAGACAATAAATAGGTACACAACATACACAAAGTTGAAAATCGACTCACCTAGTAGATTTTCTTATTCCTGCTCGAACAGCAAAACCCGAGAGCAAACAATTACTAATATCGAGTCCATTCCAGACTGATATCGTCCTGTGTTCTTGTTGGTTCATATTCGCACTTAAACCATCGAAAACGACTCGACGACGACATATCCTTCCTGGCAATCTCACATTGAAAATCACGATCACGACCATATCACGATCATCACGACACAAGACACAACATCCAATTATTTTATTTTTTATTTTATGTTTACAATTATTTTACAAACCAGCAACCACACAAACAAAACTATCATCATATGATCTGTCAACATCATTTCTCAGAACAGTAGTATCTGTGACCATAGATTTCCTCTTTGCTGTGACCTTTAACAGTACTAACTAGGATTGTTCGCGTTCAGAAAATAAACAATCCGAAACCGTCAGAAGCATGCACAAGTCCACAGAACCCAAAAAAATCATACAGTTCTGTGAAACTGCGCATGCTTCCGACCGTTTCGGACGCAAGAATTCAGATGACCATGGATTACTAATAGGTGATTTCTAAGGATCAATCAGAAACAGCAAAGTAGCGCCTGCGTGGTTGTGATTCATCCTGATTGGACACAACTGATTGAATTTGTGAGATTAGTGTATAGTGAGGAAGTATCATTTCATTGAATCAAACTAATAGATGTTTCTTCCAAATTAGTTTTTTATGAAAATGGTAGTTTCATTTAAAGATATGATCCTTCCTCACTAATACATTAATCTCAATCACCTGTGCCCAATCAGGATGAATTGCAACCACGCAGGCACTACTTTGCTGTTTCTGATTGGTCCGTTAAAGTCGCCTATTAGTAATTCATGGTCATCTGAATTCTTGCTGGTAGCACACTATAAGAACAATCAAAACAAAAATCCTTTCTTGACAGTTTGTTGTTCTGAGAATGTATGTTATTTTGGAAAACGTCAAAACGTGATACTAGTAAATGTAAAGTTTTGTTTCTGACAATTTGCTTGGAATGTGACGATGCATTTCTCAAACATTGAGCTGAATGATATGGTTCTTATGTCGGGTCGTTATTGTGCGGGGCCCATGAGACTCCTCGAAGGATACGAAATTGTAGCGATGCAAGGAGGTGGAAGAAAGGGTCTGAAGGATTTTTCAGTAAAAGAACTTCCAACCGTGAGGTGTTATACGCTATTCGAGCTTATGTGTAGAAATCTTGGATGAGTCCATTTTGAAGTTTTTGTATTGTCTTTCTGAAATTCAAGACCAGGGTTAACTTCTTCCCCATGTACATTTTCTCGATTATACATTTTATTTAATATCTCCTAATTTTCATGTAGAGTGGCAACGTCGCTTCGTTCGCAAACGATAGTTGTGACAGAAGTAGAAATCTGGGCGGAAAAAGGGTATTTTGCCCCAAATCTATTTTGATCCTAATAATATTTTTAATAGTGCTATTCGGTAGTATACCTCAAGCTTTCTCAGTGTTTGAAATATATGCACCTATTTTAAAATCAGCCTGTATATGTGTTCGTGGATAATATTGAAATCACATAATTGTCCTGAAATTGAAATAGTGATCAGTACAATCGACTAACTATTTTAATTTTAGGACAATTATATAATTTCAATATAAGGCTGATGATAGACATAAATATCTCCGAAACATGTACCTACCAACTTTTGATGTGTTAATTATACTAAATGTCGTGGGGATGACTATGTGTATCATTTAGTATCTGAGACTCCACTTTGAGAAACCATGGACTACTATCAAAGATCAATTCATAATTATTTTGGAAATTCAGTGCATTTTGAAATTTTGAGCTATCAAAATGGATCTGCTCGTTCAAAAAAGCATTTATCCCATGAATTTTCAACAGATTCAATAATGTCCATTATGGGAAAATATGTGAAATTTCCAAGTCTGCGTCTATGTCAAAAAGAATGGTTTGAATTCAGGACATGATTTGCAAAAGTTCTACTCACCAACATGTGAATTTCTTGATTTTTGAATAATTTTGACATGTTCTTTTATTTGCAAATTCAATTCTCCTACCACTTTGGCCCAAGACTTTCTATAGACACCTCATTTATGTGAAAGGGGGACCTTGTCTTTATTATTCACTAAGGACTTGAAAATAAAGTCAAGAATCACAGTTTGGACTCTTCTCCTCCTTGTGCAGAACTGTTTATGGTTCGATTTGCAGCAATGGCAGCTTTGTCTAATAGATGAGCATTACTTAAGAGAAAATCAGATGACCACAAGCCGAAGAATTCAAATATTTCGTTGTTATCTGGTACATGCTTAAAAAAGGTCGTGTATAACTCGCACGGAATTCTAATTTTCCACTCATTTAATTTCTCTTGGAAAATCACTATCATTCCGTTGGTACTTGTTAATAAATTATATAAAAATTTACACTGAAGTGAGTTCCTATATTAGCTTAGTTTGAGATACTATTTTCAACCTTGATAGCTAACGATAGTTTGGGTGGATTTCATTTTCGTGAATTGGTATCAACAAAGTAAGTTCCACAACCTATGATGCCCCATAAATACTCACATTATCTTACCTATCTATGGATAACACATACCTTCGATCTCTCAAAACGATGTTGACTGCTTCCAATAAACTTTCTGAAGTCAAATCAGAGTATTCCAATTTCACTCCTATTCCTCTAGTTTCTACCAGTTCCATGTTAGCATGTTGGTCTACGAAGAAGGGGATGCCTACCATTGGTATTCCAAAGAATGCGGCTTCAATTGTACTCAAACCACCTCCGTGGGTGATGAATAACTTCAAATTTGGATGAGCTGAAATACGTTGAATGTAGCAATATAAATATAACTTTTTATGACGGTTCTCTTGAGCTCATTCAAGAACTTTCAAGACCTTCCTTTGTCACACAAAATGATTAAAATGCAATCAATGAAATTTTACTACCTTCCCCAAACTTCTGCAATCAAATCTTTGCATCAGAATCTTTCCACTACACTGTTTCGCTAACTATGTTAGCATCTTCAGGAGAAGGTTAGATCTGAATATCCTATTCTAGTGTGCTGCTTATATACTAGGTATATGTTCATCCAACCGTGAAAAATACTAACCGTCAAGTTAGTTGGTTGAGTTCACATGTTAATCTTGATTTTTATATTACTAAACTATAAAGAGGGCTATATGGAATAGGTCCATCATCCTTATTCATTACTCTATTACTATTCTTGAATATCTCTGAGCTTCCATATGCGTCTAATTTTCTAATATTACTAACTTGCTCAACTAATTTGAGGTTAGTGATATTTGTGTTATGATTGTGATTGAACATATGTTCGGCTACACACGATTTATCTAACCTACCATATTTTGAATGTGCTATGTGTTCTCTGAACCTTGTTTCTATATGTCGCCTGGTTTGGCCTATATATGTTTTATCACAATCATTACAACTCATTTCGTATATTCCCGACTTTTCAAGTATGTCCACTTTATCTTTCGGATTGCCTAATAAATTGTCTAATTTTGACTCAGACTGATAAACGCATTCAGAACCTAAGTCTCTGAAAACCCTATCAAGTTCCTTCGTATACTCGGGATTGAACGGGATTAGTATTCTTCTAGAGTTTTTTTTTATCATCTTGAAAAGTCGTAGAATTTCGAAGTGTTAACTTAAATTTATGTCTACGTATTATATTATCTACTATTTTGATATAGCTATTGACGCCAGCCACTTTATGAACAACACTTCTTTCAGCATCGAATCTTTCTTTGCTCAGAGGAAATGAAATTAATCAATGTACTAGAACGTTCAAACTTGCGATTTTTTGTTGAAAACAGTGATTGAAGTCATTAGGTATGTATCTAAATGAGTTAGTTTCTTTTTTAAAAACATCAAACTCTAAGTTTTTTTCGCTATTTGTGATCACAAGTACATCTGAGAAAGTTGATTCGCTATCATTTTCACATTCATGAGAGAATTTGATAGAGGGGGAGCAGTTATTCAATTTTGAAATTGAGTTATCTATACCTATGGTTTTTGTATCAAAAATAGCAAAAATATCATCGACATATCTAATCCAAACCCTAGGGAAATACTCAAATTTTTCTTTTGCGTTCGCTTCATGTTGTTCAAAAAATTCTTGTTCATATTGAAAAATATTTTGGCTCATGCAGAGGTTAGTGAGATCGACCAATTCTTCAATATTATCTAGATATAGGTTGTTATATTCGAGTAATTCCTTCAAATATTCCAAAATTAGGAGATGTGAAGAAGAAAAGAAGTTTTCTCTTCCTAATTTACAGTTGCAACTGACTAATTTACAGTTGCAACTGAAAATTAGACAAATATTCGTGAAAAACAAGTTTTATTGGGATGGCAGTTCAGACGCGTCGTAGTAACGTAAATACAGAATAGAACGTTATATTCTGGAGAAACAAAACATTCGAGATACCTAGGCGATATTGACAGTCTTGTATTCAATCAGTAGATACTAGCTCATAATATACAAAGAGTCATTGCATGAAGCACTCGACATATGATTATAGTCATTTTTTGAACGAGTCAACTCTAAGCATTCGAATTTGAGATAATGAAATTGATGAATAAATACTATTATTTTGAATTCAAATTGACAGATGGAGATTTCAAGATTGCGGCTGAGCGCCATCTTAGTAAAAAAAACAAATAGAAAGGGGGGGTCTTATGACATATCAATTTGGAGCTCCTGACGAATCCTTCACAACCCTACAATATAAAGCCAATATATTTTCCTATATACTGCAAAATGGCGGAACGTAATTGCCCGAATACAAAACCGCCTCAATAACTATCCATTGAACAAAATTTGACAGGGGCACAGTATTCCAGTATGCTGAAAAATAGTCATCACCGAGATCGTCAGAAAAAATCCTGATGAATTCCATATGGACATTGTATTGCAACATGGGCTCCGTGGCCGAGTTTGTCTATGCGCTGAAATTCGCTAGATAGCCGTTCACGATGCAGAGGTACTGTCGGTTCGAATCCGGCTATCGGCTGAGCATTTTTCTTTAAAATGTGTGATTCATGGTTGTAATCCTGGCAGCACCTCGATGCCCTAGAAGTGGTTCGGATTCCACTATAAGCTGTAGGTTCCGCTCTTCCTAACCCCGCACAAGTTTCGACTTCTGGGGAGTTGGTTCCCAACTTTGAAGTAGCGATATACAAATTTTACAAAAAATGATGAAGCACCATCACATTATACCTACTCTAGACAAGTGAGAAACTATATGGATAATACTTTCCTTGGTCATTGGATTGGCCGTCAAAGTTCTACAGAATAGCCAGCCTGCTCGCTAATAACACAACTCGATCCAATGGACGCGTCCTATGGACATCCTCCTCTGTATATCTCGGACATCCATAGGACATCCATAGGATATCGCGTTTTCAACTTTTTAGCTATCCATATGGTATCCGTCATGGACATCCATATGGTATCCGTCAAGGATATCCATATGGTATCTGTCTTGGACATCCATATGGTGAATTTTATCGGATGTTTCAAATGTATGCATTCATATTATATAAGAATAAGATCTGGTCGATAAGTAGAATCTATGTTTCTGGTTGTTATATTTATTTCAAACGTGATTAAATTCAAGAATACTAGGTAAGTACTATAATATTCTATTTCAGATTGGTGTCATATGGTGTTTCTATTGACAACCTTCCTTCGCATCATTTCAGCTTGGTTGACTCGACACAATAGGCACTCAATTTCAGATCCGTTTTACTAGTTGAAATTCTTCGAAATCTTCATCAACACACCCTGGGATGGCTCTTCACTTCAAGTGATCTATTTATTCTTCGACCGAAATGGCATAAGGATAGAACACAAGCGAGTGTCGACGCCATTCACACACACATATTAACCCTTAATTACTCGCGCTGGTGTATTTTGTACACCAGCGCCAAATTTCTTGCTACCATCGAACGTAGAATTTTTTTTGTGACTCTTGACTCCCACCTAACCTATGTTTAACATGTCTGGGATGTGATAGATCAGTTTTGTGTGTGTGTTTGTACGTAAATTTTGACGCGTTGTCACGTTGGTGCCCGTTGGTGCCTAGAATACAATAGGTACACTGCGTGGGAAATAGGGTAAATTATCTTAAAGTATTCAATATTGTATATAAACACGTTAGTTGTGTATTATGTGGACGCACTAAGAACAGAGTGACCTTTTTTTTTGTGCATTTCCTTGTTGGACCCAGCACTGGATCCAACGCCCCATAAGTCGAAACTTGTGCGGGGTTAGGAAAGCATACGTTTTTGTTTCACCTAAAAACAAATCAAATTCATGGTGGTGTACAAAATACACCGCGCGGGAAAAAGTTCGAATTGATTAGCGCGAGTAATCAAGGGATAAGGAACAGATTATTACAATAATGTCACTCAATACAAGTTCGAACATGCAAAAATCATCAGAACGCTATACATACATATATCTGAAAATGATGAGATTATCAATCTCAGTAGCCTCAGACAATGCATCAACGTTAGCAACAATAACAATGGCGGACGGTATCACTACTATGACACACGGCTAACCCTGTCGGCCTGTGGTCACCGAAGGAGCCGTACGACGTCGATGATACCCGAGACGGTTATGTTAAGTAACATAATCAGAGGGGGCATTGGAATGGACACCATATGGATAACTTCACCTGGACATCCAATGGATATCTTCATGTGGAAATCCTATTGTTGTCCCGATTGTGTCCATGGACACCTTGGACATATAATACTGGTGGAATACTTCACCAGGACATCCATTGGGTATCTTCATGTGGACATCCTATTGTTATCCAGAATGTATCCATGGACACCTTGGACATATAATAGACACAATACAGATATCCAATGGACATCTTGTGTTATTAGGGCTGCTCACCAGACACCTCTAGACTTTCCTGTGCGAATACTTGGAGCAAAAAATGTACGAAACTGAACCTGCTCCAATATTATATAGACGGCAGAGATTAATAGATATTTATAGAAATATCGACGTAATTGTGTTCGAGAATGTTCGACGTGAAATATCGGATAGGCTGATGTTCTTATGTCAAGTAGTTCAAGGTAACCATTTTGGGCATCTTCTGAAGTGAACCCAGGTTATTTCCCCAAATTATGAAGTCAAACGTTGATGTACTCAGGCAATTATCAAATGTTCCGCTATTTTGTGGTTGGTGAAGATGTTGACTTTATATTCAAGTGTTGTGATCTATTCGTCAGGAGCTTCAAATGTATGTGTCAGAAAATTAGTTGTTCTCTTCTGAATAAACCGACGATAAATTGATATTTTCATCACATAGATGATGCGAATTTCAAATGTATTCCTTTATATATACAGGTTGTCCGTTTTTCGAACTCCACCATGGGGATCTCAGTTATTATAAGAGATACGAGGTCGGTTGAATCAGCAAAAAATTGCGCATTTACATGCTGAACATTTGTCTGCAAAAAAAATTTGATTTGTCATTTTTAGTTTTTGAATTATTGGAAGAAAACGAAAATTTATGATTTTCGTTTTTATTTGTTCAAGCGGAAACCAAAAAACCTAGACGGTTCTGACAGGCACTTTTTACAAGGAATATAAATTTTTCATCGAATTTTCTATGACGTTCTTGATGCCAAAGTTACAACACGCGCACAACTTCGTTTTTTCTTATGGGCGCCATATTGGATTTTTGCATTTTTGAAGTATTTTTTTTCTGATAACAATGATGTATCACACGATATGATCGAACTCTCCTGCTGATCGAAATTGGGAAAAAAACATTTTTGCGAAGATTGCTTTGGAAAGGACGCAAACATTTTTGTTTAACAAGATGAATTTCGACAGTTTATCTGAATTTAAATCTGGAACGTTCACATCTTCGTCAAGCTCATCTACTTGAAACCTATGGCATTGAATTAGGAACGACGTAGTGAGCTTGAAGTTTATTCTTCGCCAAACAAAACAGAACAAAGTTATAAAAGATGCTCGAATACCTTCCACTTCTGAAGACAATTCTACGCATTTCCGCAGATTATGAATTGCTCGCGAGATGTACCGTTTTCCTATCTAAGTCCTGAAAGTGGTGATTATAGTTCTTTTCAACCCATCAATATCGATCGGTACAATATTGAAAATCAAATCTTTCATAGTTTCCAATAAATATCAATCCAGTGGAAAGAGATCAGGTGACCACGCTGGTCAACTTAGATCTCCGTTGTTGGAAATTACCTTGTCAGGGAACATAATATCTGACAGACACTTGGCAATCCTTCTTGCGTTATGTGAGTAAGCTTGAGAATTCAACATCGAATTTTCTAGCAGATAAATGTTCAGCATGAAAATGCGCAACTTTGCCCTAATTTAACCGACTTTGTATCTCTTATAATACCTGATATCACCATGGTCTAGCTCGAAAAACGAGCAGCCTGTATACAGGGTGTCCCATAATCAATGGATCAAAAGAAGTGGGCTGTCATTTGTGATCAAACTAACGGTATATGTTGTGAACGAATTGTTGATGGTTCAAAAGTTATTGAATTTTTCTGAAAAATGTGACCCATTCAAAAAAATCAATAACAAAAAAGGTGTTTCGAATAACCCCATATGTTATGCCATTTCGGAATATGTATTAAATGGACAACTTTTTCATATGATTGGTTATCTTCGTGAGGTAGTATTTAAATCTGCCAGCGTAATCGACTTAAATATTTCATTCTATGATAAAATTCAAGGAAAACAACATTCTCTCAGGTAATTGATAAGGAGTTATATATGTCATAAAATTATTCCTGGTGAAAGGTGCATCCATGTGGATGAAATTTGTAAAAGAAAAAATCACAAATGTGACATAGTTTTATTGTAATCAATTATTTTCATACACTTGAAAGAAATTAATAACTTTTGAACCATCAACAATTGGATAATCACATATACGGTTAGTTCGATTTGATATGACATCCCCTACCAACCCACTTCTTTTGATCTTCGACTTATGGGACACCCTGTATATATACCTTTTTCATGTTCATAATTTCATCTGAGACTATTCCTCTTCAATGTCATTCAGTGTATAATTTTACTGATCACTATCTGTTTCCTCAGATTCCCACTTCACTCGAAATACATTCATATTTTATTACTATAGAATTTCGAGCTTTCCTTTCGTCGTCTCTATGAATACCAATATTAATTGGTATGATTTCAATACACCTGTAGTAAGGACAAATCATATGATTTGCTTCCGCTTCAGAATTTACCATTATAAAAACTCATTGAAAATGTACAATAGATATATGGCGTGATGGAAATATGATAATCATATAGGAACGAAATGAAACAAAAAATCCGCTCGCATTCTTCTGAACAGAGATATAACATTGCTTCCTGTTCAGTCAATATATGTATAGAAAAAGGCATTTATTGAGGAAACCTGAGTATGTTAATGGTATCGGAAGCTATTTGCCATTTTCTCATTGAAAACGGAAGCAGATTATTTCCTGAAACCTTCATGGTCATATATCTGCATCTTCTCCAAACAATTCTTGATCGGAATGTGATTCCTTATACGATTGAATTTTCATTTCACATTTTCTATGAAGAATGTCACTACCCCGTGAACACAAACTCTTCGATGAAACGTTGAATAACGGTTGGAATCGTGAAAATAATGTTACTGGTTGAAAACTACCACGTTTAAATTTGGGTGATGAGAAACTAGAAATCAACACGTTATATAGACGACTTATTTTCAACAATTCATCACCTTGTATTGTTCTACAACCACTATTAAACGTCGAAACAAAACGTCGAAAGAATGAAACGACACATTCAGAACATACAGTGAAATAATCGCAAGGAATAACCTGTTTCTCACGTTAGAAAAACAATAAATTGGAACAACAAATTCTTGTTGATTTAAATTTTTGAAATTCACATATTTCCAACATTTGGTGGAAAATACTTGGAAAATCACTCATTCACTCATTTAAAAACGCCTATTATTATTTGGAAAATATGATTAATTGATATTCAGATTCTTCAAACGTTCATGAGAAGATTATTTCAGTATTCCATTTCAATCAGGGAATACTGGTTAGTCGACGACTTTGAGATGTGATCCTACGTTTGAGATAATGAGTAATGAAATGTTTATTGTCTCAATATTGAAAATAACCAATTATGTACAGGGTGACTGGGATTAGCGCCTCATAATGGGGATCTCGCAACTTGAAAAATTTCGAATACTTTCGGAGATATCCGAGAAAAACTAAAATTTCGAAAGCCTGCATTATTTTGGAGTTATTCAAAAAAAATATTCAACACTATAATGACACTTCATCATGGAGACTCTTTCTTTTCTACAAGTTGGCGTTTTCAAATCTGAAATCTGACGTTTCGTCTTCCAGAAACCATCATCAACCTTTTTTTTTACCTTCTAATAGCTGAAAGCTGTGATCAATCACGAATCTTCATTTTCGAATGTTTCGTTTACAAAAATTCACAATTTTGTATTGAATATTGAAAAAATACAGAAACTGTCAATTTTTGTAAACGAAACATTCGAAAATTGAAAATTGTGATAGCTCATAGCTTATGGACTATCCAACGGTTAGAGAAAATGAACCACTAGATATTCCAATCCACATAAAAATTGTGTAGGTTCGATTTACTCCATTGTATCACTCCATCTGGAAAAATCTATCAACTCAAAAACAGTGTGTTTTATTGAAAATAATAATAATAATAATAATTTTGCCTCCGCTGTTTCTGAAGATTTTCGAAATTATGTATTTATCAGTTCTCCATAGAAAAGGGTTTACTCTTGGAGATATAACCGTCATTAGAGAACTTTTATTTTACATGGATATAAAACTACTTTTCATCGATCCTGCAAAGTCCTTTTGGTGAACTTACGTTCATTCTAAACGTTTATTGAAATCTCGAAATGAACGTTTCCCAAATGTGTTTTTGAGAGTAGTTGATAAACGTTGGTGAAAAAAAAAAACAACTTGAAATATATTATGTTTTCTGATAACATTAGTTAATCGTCGTTAGACAACGTTCCGTTTACATCTTGCCGACGCTCACACCAAGAGTTCAGGTACGAAAACGAGTAGTCGAGCAAATTTTAATAGGGATACGAAGAGATAGGCACCTCACTAAAACGAAATAGTAGAAGAGCTGAGAAAAGGAAATACATGGACAACATATCAGGTTGGTAAGTTACCTATTTAATACTAATTGCAATGATTATCAAAATGATGATAAAATACTTGAGGACACAAAAGTAACGAAGTATAATCTGTCGAAAACGTTTAAGAACCTTTGGAAAAACCAAGAAATCGACGATTGATAATTATTGATCCAGAGTGAATGTTGAAAATTCTTGTTTTATTAATTTGTTTAAATCGTCGAAATTTCCGACATTTGATTATGGTTATTTGGAACAGTAACAAAACGTTGATGTCACGTTTATATCTCGTGAAAAATTTGGTTGAGAACCGGGCAGTTCCCACAGTTTCAAACGGTTATTTACGTTGAAATTATTAGGTGAAAACACGTTTGTGACTTCGTTAATAATAACTTGTATGTCAGCGACATTTTTGCGTAGATTTAACGTGATCAACAGTTGCCATTAAAAGTTATTTCAACTGACCGTTGTGGTGATTCTACTACGTTATTTCAACGTAAGTGTGTTTACTGAGATGACCTACAGGTATATTCTAATAATAATGAAAAATACGACTGAGTCTTATCGAGACGAGTGGAAAATATAAATGCCTATGTACACTCATTATGAATCAATTATTCAGCAGACAAACAATAAGTAGTGGAATTTTCGAAGTGGGGTCTAGTGCACTAAGTTTAAATATGAGTAACATAATCTGTACGTACCAAATATTGCAGTCTGCGGGATCCATTTTCTTATTATCACGTTTTTTGGAAGATTTGGAAAGTCAGATTCGAATTTCCATAAAACAGTCTGATTCAACTGACTGAAGACCTTCAGAATGCTGTTTTTCTTCTCTGGACTCATTGTGTCCGATCTCAAGTTACTACCTAATGAGAAGAATATGACTCCATTTTCTGCAGAATCCATTATATCTTGTAAATCCTAAAAGTAACAATTTAAAATCATTAGGTATTCATTATTTCTGTGGGTATAGGTTCTTCTTGCGAAGAGTTTCCATATCTAGCTTTGTTCGGATTTTCATACATTTAATAATCTCTTCACTGTCTTCCATTTCATTTGTCTTACTTCAATTCCTAATCACTTACGGAGTATGTTAGCATCTTCAGGAGAAGATTGAATCTAATAAATATCTAATTTTGAATCGACTCGACCGTAACTTGTAGAAATCCATAGTAAAAATGTAAAAAACTTCTCAAACGATAAGATCTCAATCAAACGACATGTTTCACTAACCCAGTAGCTTCTTCAGGTGAAATACTCGTACAATAAACTGAACTCACATCCCAGTTAACACAAATTGATCCCAGAGATGAAAGAGGGCATCACATTCATGCCACACATCACATCCGTGACTCGAAATGAGAGTCCCACTGAAATCACAATGACTGCTATGCCGGACTCCTTTGGTCATTTTATGATTCACATATTATGATGTCACATGAGACTCACTGTACGTATTAAGCGACTCCTCATTCAACATCAAAATTGATTGATTCCGTTTGTTACATAAATAGACAAGAATATGAGATCCAGTGACTCTCTTGGTTGTTAGGGAGCCTCATAAAATCACCTACATTTAAAATTTCAAATCCAATAAAATGTGATGAATATTGCGAGCGAATGTTTTGTGAAATAAAGAGTCCCCTGGCAATACCAATGATGTTTTCTTGTAATTCACATTGTTACCTAGCGAGACATAAAAAATGTGACATCTCAGGGATGTTTGTGTTTACTAGGATTGTCTTGCCTAACTTGTATATCCTACTTTCCTAACCTGAAGGATTAAAATCACCTGTGGAAATGTTGGTTAAGCATTCATTTTCGAAAAGTTGGTACAATAATCTACACAATAAATTTTGGTGTACCGGATTAACTTGAAAATAATGATATCACCTACCTACTGAGAAAAAATTCACCAGCAGTGAATTATTAAGGTCTAGTTGATCGTTATTTGAATTATTATAATTTGTGCGATTGTTGATTTCTAATAATTCCCAATGATTTAGTTTTATTCCTTCATTTTCGACGTGTAATATTTAGAAATTAGCAGCAAAGCTATGGGTTTCGTTGCTTTCATAGTTTGCATATCTTCAATTTGTTTTCTTTTTCAAAAAATTAATATCATGTTCATGAATGTGGTGATCTAACATTCGACCTGTCTGATCGACAAAGGTATACCTCAGTACAAGATAACGCAAAAATCCTACCATTCCACTAAACGATCAACTAGATCTAAATAATTCACCCTTGTTGAATAAGTATGTGATATGGGCTATCATCATTCTCAAGTCAATCCGGTACACCGTTATATTTGATCATTCTGCATACTTTCTGAAAATGAAGGCTTAACCAACCTTTCCACAATAACCTTTACACAATCCAATCCAAAATCAAATTCCTTTATCCGTCAAGGTTGAGAAAGTAGATATTTAGAAGTAAGGCAAATCAATTTGAGCACTATGTTCATATAGGGTCCGGCAACATTGCTTGGTATATTGTTTTGTTTCTCGGATAAACTGAGTCAAATTTCCTCGGAAATACGGAGAGAAAATTAGTAGGAGTGTTTGTGGTGTGATATCAATCAAAAACAGACAAGTGAAAGTGAAAGTAGCGGTGGAAATTATTAAAAAACGTTAATTTGTGGATATCAACACGAGGTCTCCAAGGCGCAAGAAATAACCAGAGTTGCCACGTCCTGAAATTTGTCGGACACATGATACAGATATGTCTGCATGTACCTTTTGTAAAGAAGCAAAGAACTCATCTCAGATATGGAACTGCGATTTATGTTCCAGAGGAATTTGTCAAGGGTGTGCAAACCTCACAGCCTCAGAGGAAAAATGTCTCCTTCTCAAGAAGGGTCGAAAACTTCAGTTCATGTGTGAGTGTTGCGAAGAAGCCAAGGAAAATACGGATTCAAAATTAGAGGAACTCACTAAGAGAATTATGAAAATATTGAATAGTAGCATAGTTGAGTATAAACAGATTATCGAAACACAATCACTTCAAATAGAAAAACTCACATTGGAAACAGATAACCTACGTAAAGCCATTGAGAATAGGATAACAATAATGACACCAAAACTTGAGGAAATATGCCCAAAGATGGATGAAATGAACCCAAAGCTTGACCAAATCAACACTATACTTCATAATATCCAACAGAACCTCACATCGAATAATATTGAAAAGGTAAATAATACAGAGCCTAAATTATACTCCAATGTTTTATCAGGAAAGAGCAATGTTATCATTAAGCCAAAAGATAACCAACAAACTGCCACCACAAAATCAGATCTTTGGAAAAATATCAATCCAGTTAGTGAAAATATACACATAGATAGTTTGAAAACTGTAGCCAAAGGGGGAGTAGTAGTGAACTGCCAAACTGAAGACGAAGCAAATAAACTGAAAGAGTTGATTGGTAGGTGTAGTGTTTCGGAAAACTATACTCCGAGAATCCTAGTAATTTGACTAGGGACAAAAACTACACAAATCGTTCTTTCAAAAAATCTATTTTACAACACCCAAAAAACATCACAATTGTTCCTTACCCAAGGCAACCTTATTCATGCACAGAGCGATAGATATATATTATATTTTGAATATACCACAATATCTCCCCCTTTAAATGAAAAAATTCAGTCATATGACAAACGATCAATTGGTTTCACTTTTTTTTTTTTTTGGTCTAACTCTGATCGGTACGATCGCATAGCCTGACAGATCCATCTTTCTTTGAGACTGGAACAATCGGCGTTCCCCAAGCACAGTAATCAATGAATAACTCACTCAGATCATCAGGTGAATCGATATGAAAATTATTGGCAATGATGAGTTGAAAAAGATTGAAAAAATCACGACCCAATAAAGGTGGACCTGAAGCACCCTGTATAACATAAATATCTATGGAATTAGTTTTTACTTGAAAATTCACATTGCAAATCATATATCCTTTGGGAATAATTTGGTCTCCATTATATAAATGGAAAATTTTATCCGTTTCATGTAGCACTTTACCACTGAAATACTCCGCAAAGAATTTTTCCGATATAACTGTGAAACTTGACCCTGTATCGAGGTTGAAAGTTAACGGAATATCATCGATCTTCAAATTTATTAATATTGGATCAACTTTAGATTCCATATTGTAAAGCGAAAAATCAGACTCTAAATAGTTTTGATGGTGAGAGTTGTTAGAATTCCTTTTAGTTTCAATTCGTTTCTGGGTACACATTGGAGCTAAATGACCCTTCTTGTTACACACGTGGCAAAAACATTCTCGAAAAGAACACTCATCTGCTAGATGGTTCTTCCTTCCACATACTTTACACTTGGTATTTTCCGATGAAGGCGAAGCTAGCTGTCCTCTTGACGATGATGACTGTTGTCCTCCGGACGGTTTCTTCAGCCTACCTCTGTCCTGTTGGGATTTGACATAGTGTACTTCTGTTTTCTTCTTCACAACTATTTCTGAATTTGCAGACATGGAAGATGGCTTAGCTGCAGATTTCATCGTAGCAACTTCTACAACACTTTTGAAAGTTGCTGTCTTCTTTTCTTCGAAAAGACGATCTTGTACTGGTCCTTTATCATAACCAATGATAAAATGATCACGCAATGCTACTTCCAATTGATCGTGCTCAAAGTCGCATAACTCAGCCAAATTCTTCAATCGTGCCGACCACTCTCGTGCTGATTCATTGATAGTTTTGCGCGACATATAAAATTTATATCGTGCAGCGAATACACTCAAACTTGGTTTGTAATGTTCCGTCAATAAAGCAATGAGTTCAGAATACTTCTTCGTCTCTGGTTCAGCAGGCAAGCATAGATTGTGTACCAGTTTATATGCTTCTTCATTGAGCACATTCAGCAATATCGCCCCTTTCCGCGAATCGTCCTTAATATCATTCGCCACAAAATAATTATCAATCCGTCTCTTGAAAATTGACCAGTCTGACACTGACGGATCGAATTCTCGTAAATGACCAATGTAATCTGACATTTTTCGAATTTGAATATACAAACAGAATCAACGCGTGGTATCTTTTGCGAAAACTTAAATTTCAAACTTCCACACTTCTCGTCGCCACTTGTAGTGTTTCGGAAAACTATACTCCGAGAATCCTAGTAATTTGACTAGGGACAAAAACTACACAAATCGTTCTTTCAAAAATCTATTTGACAACAACCAAACAACATCACAATTGTTCCTTACCCAAGGCAACCTTATTCATGTACAGAGCGATAGATATATATTATATTTTAAATATACCACAGTAGGAAAATGGCAGACAAATATGAAACAAGCACTGTGGGAAATATGCAACCTAGAATTCGAATTGCTGGAATTACTGAAAGACACTCGGAGGATACCTTACTACAACTTTTCACCCAGCAAAACGAGTCAGATATTGAGAATGATAAATTAGTCAAACTAATCAATTTCAAACCACACAGAAACAAAGAAAAACTCTACCAGTGTTTAATGCAAGTAGATGTTATAACATACAAGAGGCTCTTGGAAAGGAGCTATGTCATTATCGGTTATGATTACTGCCCAGTATATGATGGAGCGGAAATAAGGAGATGTTACAAATGCTGTGGTTTTCACCATCTTGCAAAAAACTGTAAAAACAATATTGTGTGTCCTCGTTGCTCAGAAGCACATGAAGCTAAAGACTGTCAGGCTGAAGTCTTGAAATGTCCAAACTGTAGCAAGATGAACACCAGAACAGATTCCAACATGAATACAAACCATGCAGCATGGGATAGAAACTGTCATGTACTCACGCAGAAATTAGAAGAAATGAGGTCTAGCTTACCAAAATAGCAATCAGAGACTACCGACGCTGAGGAAAACAAACAAGCAGCAGCACATCAGGAAGTAAATGGTGTGAAGGTATTACCTAAAGAAA